TGAACATTCGGGCCCGCGCGCGTACGAAAGTGCAATTTGGCTTCTTTTTCCTCAACCCTTGAGATACGTTCAGAAAATCGGCCATATTAGTTCACTTGAAACACTTCTCCGAGAGCAGTTACTAATATGGGGAGAGAGCTGTGGCAGAATGTCCTTACGTATGCGATGTTCTATATGCGTTAGACCACACTTCCTTCCCCCATGTCCTAAACAACAGAATTACAGTTTGTTTTATGCTCAAGTTGATTCAAAGGATCTCACGTCGTGTTATGGATGAACTCAAAGAAGTTTGCTCGTCATCGTTAGAAGTATCGAAGGAAATCACGAAAACGGTTGCAGTTGAATCTGAGAAGCGTCCACAAACTGCATGTTCAGCTGAATTGGATGGTTAGTTCAGTGTGACTGACATTTCTCTTTTATCGTTTGCATTAAAATTGTAAATTAATTGTTCTGTAATTATATTAAGGTGAACCACCAGCAAAGAAGAAATGGAAGAAAAAAGTACGTTATGCGATGTTGATTGCCTACCAAGGAAAGAATTACTGTGGAATGCAGGTGATCGCATGAATGCCACTTTTCACCTTTCTATTCTTTCAAGTAGTAAGATCCTTCATTTTTCCTTGCTGCCGCTAAGCGTGCAGAATTCGAGGCGGAATCCTGCATAATCTAGTTCAGTGAGTAATTACCAAATTTCAGATTCAAAAAGATGCACCAACAATAGAAGGACGCCTGATGAACGCCATGCAGAAATATAATTTGATCACAGCTGAGGAGGCCTTGAAACCGAATATATTTAAATTCCAACGGGCCGCTCGAACCGACCGTGCCGTATCTGCTGTGAGACAGGTAACCATTCTTCAGTTGAACTGAGATTTTGCTTTCTTCGTTCACTTGTTTCCCGATGTTCATTCTAACATTTTTCGGATAAAATTTGAATGAATTCTCATCCACAAACAGCCACTCACCATTCAGATGTGCTCAATGATCTTAGACTTGGATGAAGAACTGCCGAAAAGAGGACCCGATGAGCTGAATAAGATTCTACCCAGTGATATTCGAGTTATGGGTATAAGGCAAGATTTTGATATTCATCGTCACACTGCCTGTTGAAACAAATGCAAGTCCTGTTGAAACAGCACTTGCATTTGTTTCGGAAAACAATTTCTGAGCACATATGGAAGTGATTCCAACATTCTTGCGCTCTACAGTTTCATCTCGTTGTATGATGGACTGCTTTGCTCTCCTCCCAACAATATAGAACTGAGTTTCTCATTTTTCTGACAGTCATTAGTTATTGGCGATAAATTAGAAGGAAATTAGCAAAGTGTTCCATATGAAAAGTTTCCGTCAAAACTTTGTTGTACTACGAAACAAATCGGTTGTTTTTGATCAAACAAGCATTACGAAAATTTTATTGGAGGAATCATCGGAAAAGGATCAATCAACAATTATTTCACAACTTCTCAATTCCCTCGATAAGTTCAAATTTTCCATTAGGGGCTAATCACCTTCCATGAGAACCACTGGCATATCGAAGAAAAACTGTAGTGCTGCATAACAAGATTCATTCACACAACGTAGGTTTATTTTCTTGTAAATACCTGTATAAATTGACGCAGAAATGGACCAATTTGCAGACGGGCTACGAGAACGTTCAATTCGCAAAAAGATTGTGACTCACGAACGTATTCCTACACGCTACCAACCTATGCTTTCGCTCAGGTCGACGAGGTTCGTTGGTTGAATTCTGACAATTTGATGTTTGTGTTTCCAATCGTTTAAGAATACGACCGTCTTATCATCAAGCAAAATTATAAATATTAATTTCACGTTTTTGAATGTTATTATGATGTTCGTTTTGAGAGTGATATTTCAATTGGTAACTGTAATCGCGTATCGGTTTTATCTATCAGGTCCAATAATTTCGAAATTTTGATTTGCTCAAAAGTTGTTCAGCTTAATGAAGTATTTGTAGTTAACGAATAGTGCATATCGAATAAGCGATGAAACTGTAAATGAAATCGATAATTTGCTGAAAATATTCGTTGGAACGCATAATTTCTTCAATTACACTTCGAAAAAGTTGGTTCTTCTGCAGAGTTACTAGGGTGTTCTGAACGAAATCGTTAGTCTCATGAAAGCATCTTCTGTTACAGGTGATTGAACCGAATAAACTGAATGCCTCACATTTGAAGTAATGCTGAAAGGAAGTATTTCAGAGAATACACCGATAAAAGTTGTTTTCGTTATATAATATCGTTCAAATGTGATGAACGATTCTTGTACAGAAATGAGTTGCGTAAAGAGGATGTTGAATTTATGACAATTAAAATAAAAGGGCAGAGCTTCATGCTTCATCAAATACGTAAAATGATTGGTGAGTGTTTCATCTGTCTACTAAATTATTTCGTCTAGCTTACGAAATTTGTCAAATGAGTTCACCTGAAACGTTCACTCTGTTCTGAATGTCAAATTGAATGCAAGCAACTAGTGATTAACGCTTGGAATTGATAAAACTATGCTGATGTTGGCTGACACAGTGTGAATCGTAATTTCATCACCAGTATCGGTCAGAAATTCTTTCAAAAGCCGGTATTTTACTATTTTCTCTGCTTTGCAATACGTAGTCATAGAGTGGAATTTCCATTTTGATATATTGTAGTGAAATAATTGAATCTATTTTGTGTTAATGATTAGGACAACAAAATGAAGCATTTATTTTGCTTTGCGTAAATCATTTTGTTGGTTGCTTGAAGACGCCACCCATTTAAGGTATGGTCATTGCAATCTCGCGAGGTTTCCTCTATAGAAGTGATATCCAAAGGTCATTTGAGAGCACACGAGTAAGTGTTTAATACGTCGTTTATTTTTATTGATAAAGCCAGTTCCGTTCTCAGCAGCTGTCGTATAATTTGACTAATTTCCAGATGGACGTACCGAAAGCGCCTGGTTTGGGCCTGTTGCTTGAACAGATTCATTACGAGAATTACGATAGGAAATTTTCGAAAACACATGAAACGTTAAACGATTGGGGTGAAGAAATTGAAGCGAAAATCAAAGACGTTCGACATCGATTGATTGTTCGTGAAATTTTGCGACAAGAAATCGAATCGCAATCGTAAGTTCAGATACTTTTAAGGAGTGTATATGCACACAGAAATGTTTCACTATTATGCAATGAGTACCCGTATTATGATAAACCGTTTGTCACCAGTTTATTGATATTCACTTAATAATA